GACGCGAAAAGGAAAGCGGGCCGAGGAGCGAGGAGACCCTCCGCCGCCAGCTCGCCGGGCCTAAACCTAAGCGCGAGAACCAGATGTCTGGGCCCGCTCAGATCTGGAGATACTCCCTCGGCCGCGCCCGACCGAGCCGAAGCGTCTCTGGCCCCCTCGACCTTCGACAAGTAGATCAAGGTAACGCCCGCGAGGAGCCGCCGGTGGTATTCTGGGATATTTATAGACATTTGATGAAAGTTGTCCGAGTCGGAATGTGTTGTTTCTTCCGCGCGACAAGATCTGCGCTAACCGCTAAACAACCTCGTGTAAAGATTGCTTGATAGTAGCAAAATGACCTTCCCTTCCCTTACCCTTTCTCTGCCCCGAGAGAAAGGCAGGTTCTCGAGTGGTCTACAATAGCCTCTGATGGACGGTGCCATAACAGACGGCGGTGGCACCCATAACAGTGCCTCTCGACCTCGCACAGGAAGCAAAGCTGTGGTTTAGTTTACATTTTTTTTTCCTTTTTTTGCCGGGCATGAAAATAGATATTACTATTTTACCAGACATCCTGTTGTAATCGGGACTTCGGGATTTAGTAATTTACCAATTCAGCTTATGCGTCTTAAACATAATTTCATAGAATGATCAAATAGCTCAAGCATACATCAAATTAGATGTTACTACAGAATGCCGTGAGTGGGTGGTCCTGGGGCATTGATGGCCAATCAGAGGGCCTCTCCGCCCCCCCCCCCTTATCGACATTTTCATCGGACTGTGAATGTGAAAACGAGTTTGATAGTAAAAGACCACTTTGGAATTTCAAGAAATAAGACCTCAGCGGAGTTCACCCGCAAATGGCCAGGATGAATTGTCTGCCCTTCAGGTTGAAATGATTCCATGAATTTCGAGATAAAGTACAGTTACAGGACGCTGAAAATAACCCAGTCTCCATTCATATGCAACAAACGACTCTAACCACCTCCCATATCCGGGCCTCCCGCAACGCCCCTCCTCCTCCTCCCCCAATGCCCCTCCTCCCCCTCCCCCAATGCCCCTCCTCCCCCAATGCCCCTCCTCTCTTCCCCCAATGCCCCTCCTCTCTTCCCCCAATGCCCCTCCTCTCTTCCCCCAATGCCCCTCCTCTCTTCCCCCAATGCCCCTCCTCTCTTCCCCCAATGCCCCTCCTCTCCTCCCATGCCACTCCTTCCTACCCCCAATGCCCCTTCCCTTCCCCAGTGCCCTAGTGCCCCAGTGCCTCTCCCCACGAAAGAACTGTTACCTTTTTTCCGAGTAACAAGTCTCCGAAGTCCGGTGCCATTTTGAGCTCCTGTCGGTGCCTTTGCCTTCCCGCCCTCTCCTCCAGACGTCAGCCAGATTCGTGGCACCGCGCGGTATTACACCGCACAGAATGAGGCACATTGGAAAGTTTCGTTTTGGAACGTCTGGAGAGAGAGAGGGAGGGAGGCAGGGAAGGAAGGAGGGAGGGAGGGAGGGAGGGAGGGAGGGAGGGAGGGAGAGAGAGATATAGACCTGCAGGACCACCCGGCAGTGTCAGGCAGGCGCAACACGTGTTTGGGTTACAGCGCTTCTCATTCATTAAGGTTCATCTGCATCCCCTCTCCCCTCCATTCGTTTCCTCCTATCCACTACCCCCTTTTCTATCATCTTTCTTCTCCTCTACTTCATTTTCCACCTCCTTACTACCACCACCTTTCTCCTTCCTCTTCCTCTTCACCCCCTTCTCCTTCCTCTTCCCTCCACCTCTCCCCTCCCATCTCCTTCCTCCACCTTTTCTTCTTCCCCTTTCCTCTTCGTCCCCCCTGACTTTCCCTTCCGCCTTTTCCTCTTATTCATGTTCCTCCTCTTTTGACCAATTTCCTCTTCATTCCTTCCTCTTCCAAAACCCATATATTCACATTCGTTCTCTTCCTCTAAGAGAGTCATGTTAACTCCTCTGTAAACTTTCCTTGTTCGTCATTGTATGGGCGCCAAGGGACCCGTGACCTGGCTGCCACACCCAAGTAGTGCGTGTATCATGACTGGTCGTTAGCTGAGGTGTGATGATACACAGGGTCTCCCTTTTTCTAGTTTTTCTTCTTCCTGTTATCCTTTTCCCCTCTCTCTCTCTCTCTCTCTCTCTCTCTCTCTCTCTCTCTCTCTCTCTCTCTCTCTCTCTCTCTCTCTCTCTCTCTCTCTCTCTCTCTCTCTCTCCCCATTTCTCCCTTCTCTCTCTCTCTCTCTCTCTCTCTCTCTCTCTCTCTCTCTCTCTCTCTCTCTCTCTCTCTCTCTCTCTCTCTCCCCATTTCTCCCTTCTCTCTCTCTCTCTCTCTCTCTCTCTCTCCCCATTTCTCCCTTCTCTCTCTCTCTCTCTCCTTTTCTCCCTTCTCTCTCTCTATCCCAACCAATCTCTCCGCCTCCCCTCTCCCCTCTTTCTTTCCTCCATTATCTCTTCCTCTTCTCCTCCTTCACCCCCCCCCCCTCTCCATCTACCTCGTCCATCCAGTCTCCTTCGCTCAATGTTCTTGCTTATTCAAAATGCCCGCTTTCTCCCTCGATCCATCGTGACGTCACCGACTAACGAAGCCTGATCGAAGGGACCTTGTTTGAACGCCAATGATCTTCGACCAGTCTTTGTCCTTGCCATGGCGTTATGTGAAGATACTTGTTCAGTCATATGCCAGCGTTGCAGTGACAGGTTTTTCTTAAGTTGTGTATTACGTAGCACTTGTATCCTCATCCCTCTCCTCTTTGCCTTCCCCTCTCCTCTTCCTTCCCCTCTCCTCTTCCTTCCCCTCTCCTCTTCCTTCCCCTCTCCTCTTCCTTCCCCTCTCCTCTTCCTTCCCCTCTCCTCTTCCTTCCCCTCTCCTCTTCCTTCCCACCTTACTCTTCCCTTCCATCCCATCCTCCCCTCCCCTCCCCTCCCCTCCCCTCCCCTCCCCTCCCCTCCCCTCCCCTCCCACCCGTACACCCCCCCCCCCCACATGCACATACACATACACATACTTTCACACCTAGGAGAGACACGCACACGCGCAAACACACGCACAAACACACGCACAAACACACGCACAAACACACGCGCGCGCACACACACATGCACACACATACACACACATACACACACATACACACGCACACACACGCACACACACGCGCACACACGCACACACACGCACACACACACGCACACATACACACACACACGCACACGTACGCACGCACAGAGGAACGAGAGCGCATATGTTGAATTATTTATAGGCGTAGTTAAATTTCTGTAGTGAAAATTAACAACACCAGCATGCTAACAAGTCCCAAGGTAAATTATTAGTGGTTAGGTAAGACAGCCAATTAGTAAGAATGCAAAAAAGGGGGGGGGGGGTCAAAGCGTAATAGTACATCTAACGACATTATTGTTAAATTTTCTATTTTTTGTGTAGAAAAGTGTTTTAACGCCTCTATCTGTTCGTCATATCACCGCGTTTTCAGTATTGGTGTCAGACGAGGTCACTGTACTTGAGGGCAATGCCTGGGGAGTTTGAGAGGTCACGATTGTGTCATTTGGGAATGTGTCTCACGCAAGCCCGCCTTATCACGTGTAAAAAGCTTTTCATGATATTAAGATTTTGTGTGTGTATCTCTATGCATGTGCTTGTGTGTAATGTATGTGTGTGTGTGTGTGCGTGCGTGTGTATTCGTATGTTCATGTTTAATCGCGTATGTGTGTGCATTTTTATGCATCTGCGCGTGCGCCTGTGACTGTGAGCGAGGAGGGAAAACCCGACGAAATCCTTCAAAATCCCGGCCACCTGCGGTCGTCTTAAGGGCAGAGGGAGCGCTTCTCAGGAGACGTGTAGGAAGGTTCTCGGGCATGGAGACACCAGCCCCTTTGCCGTCTGTAAAAGTGAAAGTATTGGAAGGTCTCCAGGGACTACCCTCTCCTCGCCTGCCTGCTGCCCGCCTGTCTGCCAGCACACTTGCGTGCTTGGCTAGGGGTTGGGTGTGCTGGAGAGCAGATCATTTGTTATCCTTTCCCTTTCTCTCTTTCTTTTCTCCCCCCCCCCCTCTCTCTCTCTCTCTCTCTCTCTCTCTCTCTCTCTCTCTCTCTCTCTCTCTCTCTCTCTCTCTCTCTCTCTCTCTCTCTCTCTCCCTCTCCCCCTCTCCCCCTCTCTCCCTCTCTCTCTCTCTCCCTCTCTCTCTCTCTCCCTCTCTCCCTCTCTCCCTCTCCCTCCCTCCCTCGTCCCCCCTCTCCCTCTTTCTTTCTCCCCTCCCTGAGAAAGAGAGAGAGAGAGAGAGAGAGAGAGAGAGAGAGAGAGAAAGACAAAGAAAGACAAAGAGAGAAGCAGGCATTCCAGAGACACTTGAGAGTGCGAGGAGGGAGAGAGAGAGTACGCGGCCGAGTAGTTAGTTGCATAGTGAAGACGAGAAACGAGAGAGAATGCAAAACCTGTTATACTTCTAGACTGTCTTCCCGGCAACACATCCCAGCGTGCCGTGAAGATGTGGGGAAAGATTTTTAAGGAAAAGAAGTAATTAACAACGTCTTTAAAAAATGAAAACGAGGCGGAGTTTGGAAATGCGGTAACAAAGTACTTTCATATTTCACAAACGATGAACAAGAAAGCCGTCAGATCTAGGCTTGTGCAAGGCCACAGTCGAAGAAAAGTCCGGCTGTGGCTTGGCAATGCAATTAAGAATAACCTTAAGCCATGAGCTAAAAATATATAGTTAGGTCCCCCCCCCCCCCCAAAAAAAAAAGCAGGATTACGACACGCCATCACCTTTCCACGTAGTGTGTTAAGTTAGAATGTGTTGGTTTTCATCGCTGTTATGTCTGTCCACATGTCGCTGTCATTGTTTGCATTGTCTTTGATAACGTCGAGAATTTGCATTGTGTGTGGCGAGATTTCCTTTTTATGCGCAGTCTTGGCTGAGAGAGAGAGAGAGAGGATGTTCAGCATGTATGGAAAGTTGAGAGTTGGCACATATTGTCATGCATCCCTTCCCTCCTCCTTCAGGTATCGGCATAGATGACACCTTCGTGATGTTGGCGGCCTGGAGGAGGACCCGCCTGCAGGACTCCGTATCGGACCGGATGGCGAAGACCTTTGCCGACGCCGCCGTCAGCATCACCATCACCTCCCTGACCGATATGATCTCCTTCTTCATCGGCGCCATCACGCCCTTCCCTTGCGTCCAGGTCTTCTGTCTCTACACAGGTGAGTTGCTGCTCGACTGGTTTCGACCTTTGTTTTGAAGTCAGAGACTTAGATTGTTTTGCTGAACTAGATCTATTATATGAGCATAGGTCTTTTTTTTACAGTGCTCAGATTGTTTTACTGTCCTTAAAGAAATATCTCTGAACCCATTAGTAAAATGCTGCTCGGCACTTGCGGTCCAATTCGTTGACTTCTGTTAGTGTGCCATGCCCTAGACTCGGCCACATGTCAATGCCCTCTTGTCTTACCACGCCTAGAGATGCCTTGTAACCCAAGTATTGCCGATTCTGACGTAACGCAGTCTGCCTTGACCGGACCGATGCCGTCTGATTGGCATCCATGTCGGTTCTCGAGATGCCTCAGGGTCGGGGAGATGGGCGTTATTTTAAGCCACTTTTTTTTTTAGTTCTCCTTAAATCTAGGTCGTTATTCTATTTACCATCTAATCGGAGCTTTATAAATCCTAGTTCGTTTGTCGATAGCAAATGCTGACAATACTTTCTCTTTATTTTATGTACTATGAAAGCAGCACCGTCATCCTCTTCCCCTCTCGCCCTCCTCCTCCATTAATCCCAAGCTGACGTCGCGACTTCATCTCCTTCCAGGCACTGCCGTCGTGGTGACATACCTGTGGCACATCACCTTCTTCGGCGGCTGCATGGCACTCTCCGGGTACATGGAAAAGGGGCAGCGTCATGGCGTCTTCTGCCACAAAGTCAAGGCCAAGTCGGAGTCTGGTAAGTCTTGTGAGGAACATGGAAAGTAGTCTTACGTGATTTTTTTCTTTTCTTTTTCTTTCTATTTCTTTCTTCTTCTTCAGGAAATAAGGGAGGAGGATTATTTCATATACAAATCCTTTCAAATATACACGTGTAGACCACAGATACGCACATCCATATATATTAACCTACATTCACAACAACACGCATACATATGTATATGTACGTAAAACATGGACAGTTTCACTATGAATATTTATGAGTTCCTTGGATATGCAAAACAAGTGTTAAATTTAGAAACAGAGGTGAAAGCACGAGGAATATTTAGCGTTGGACATTTTATTTTCCGGGGCGGTGGGCGCTAGGATTTTTCTGCGAGTCTTCTCCGAATTCGTGGACAGGATTTCAAAAGTACCGAAGGGTCTGTTTCTTTAGGTTTGTATCTTTCTCCTTTTTTTTCCTTTTCTTCTCTTTTTTTTCTCTTCTCTTCGCTCTTCTCTTCTCTTTTTTTTCTTTTCTCCTTCTCTTTCTCCCTCTCCCTCTCCCTCTCCCTCTCCCTCTCCCTCTCCTCCCTTCCCTCTCCTCCCTCTCCCTCTCCTCCCTCTCCCTCTCCTCCCTCTCCCTCTCCCTCTCCTCCTCTCCTCCCCATCTCCCTCTCCTCCCTCTCCCTCTCCTCCCTCTCCCTCTCCTCCCTCTCCCTCTCCTCCCTCTCCCTCTCCCTCTCCTCCTTCTCCCTCTCCCTCTCCCTCTCCCTCTCCTTCGTCTCATTTCTTTTCCCTTTTCTTCTCCCACCCCCACCCTTCTTTTCGTTCCCCATCTATTCTTTTCTACCTTTTTTTAAGCGATATTAGCAGCTTATCTGGCGTGATAATTACAGCGACCTTTGACCTGGAATGACCGTTTACACAAATATTTTGAATAGTTTGAGGCAGAGAGACCGTTGTTTGCTTAATTACCGAAGGGACTTGACCTCGCCGGGGAAGCGAATTAGCCTCCAGTTGACCTAGTTTTAGTCTTCCTGTTTGTTTTAATGACCTTCGTTCGGCGGTCATCGTCTTCATTCATTTGTGAAGAGTTTGGGAATGTTCCTTGTAATGAAGTCTTTTGGTTTTTTTCTTATCTTTTTCGTTTTCTTTTCTGTTCTTTTTTCCTTTCCTTTCCTTTCCTTTCCTTTCCTTTCCTTTCCTTTCCTTTCCTTTCCTTTCCTTTCCTTTCCTTTCCTTTCCTTTCCTTTCCTTTCCTTTCCTTTCCTTTCCTTTCTTTCCTTTCCTTTCCTTTCCTTTCCTTTCCTTTCCTTTCCTTTCCTTTCCTTTCCTTTCCTTTCCTTTCCTTTCCTTTCCTTTCCTTTCCTTTCCTTTCCTTTCCTTTCCTTTCCTTTCCTTTCCTTTCCTTTCCTTTCCTTTCCTTTCCTTTCCTTTCCTTTCCTTTCCTTTCTTTCCTTTCCTTTCCTTTCCTTTCCTTTCCTTTCCTTTCTTTCCTTTCCTTTCCTTTCCTTTCCTTTCCTTTCCTTTCCTTTCCTTTCCTTTCCTTTCCTTTCTTTCCTTTCCTTTCCTTTCCTTTCCTTTCCTTTCCTTTCCTTTCCTTTCCTTTCCTTTCCTTTCCTTTCCTTTCCTTTCCTTTCCTTTCCTTTCCTTTCCTTTCCTTTCCTTTCCTTTCCTTTCCTTTCCTTTCTTTCCTTTCCTTTCCTTTCCTTTCCTTTCCTTTCCTTTCCTTTCCTTTCCTTTCCTTTCTTTCCTTTCCTTTCCTTTCCTTTCCTTTCCTTTCCTTTCCTTTCCTTTCCTTTCCTTTCCTTTCTTTCCTTTCCTTTCCTTTCCTTTCCTTTCCTTTCCTTTCCTTTCCTTTCCTTTCCTTTCCTTTCCTTTCCTTTCCTTTCCTTTCCTTTCCTTTCCTTTCTTTTCCTTTCCTTTCCTTTCTTTCCTTTCCTTTCCTTTCCTTTCCTTTCCTTTCCTTTCCTTTCCTTTCCTTTCCTTTCCTTTCCTTTCCTTTCCTTTCCTTTCCTTTCCTTTCCTTTCCTTTCCTTTCCTTTCCTTTCCTTTCCTTTCCTTTCCTTTCCTTTCCTTTCCTTTCCTTATTTTTCTCACTTTTTTTTACATTGGATACTTGTTTCTTAGTAACTCGTTCGATACTCTGCGCGTCGCATTTTATCGTTGTCGATCATTTTATACGTAACGAATCTTTTTATTTTCATTATGTATCATGGTATTTTTCTTCTTCCTCCTCCTCCTCCTCCTCCTCCTCCTCCTCCTCCTCCTCCTCCTCCTCCTCCTCCTCCTCCTCCTCCTCCTCCTCCTCCACTTCTTTTTGTGTGCTCCTTCTCTTTGCTCCTCTTCACTATCTTCCCTTGTCTCTTTGTCTCGTCTTTCTTTGCCTCTCTCTCTCCGTTCCCGTCTCTTTCTCTTTCTCTGGGTGTATATACTGTATATGTAGCGGTTTGTTTCTGCCTTTCTCGCTATCTCTGTTTCCGTCTCTTTCTCAATGTGTGCGCGCGCGTGTGTGTGTATGGCGGTCCTTTTCTCCCGTGTACTCCTGCCTTCCTTTCACTGGGCGACGAACCAGTGTCTCGGTTATGTTCCCACGATCCAGCCAGCCTACCCAGGGGGTATCTCATAGTTAGCGCGTCTCTCTCTCTCTCTCTCTCTCTCTCTCTCTCTCTCTCTCTCTCTCTCTCTCTCTCTCTCTCTCTCTCTCTCTCTCTCTCTCTCTCTCTCTCTCTCTCTCTCTCTCTCTCTCTCTCTCTCTCTCTCTCTCTCTATCTCTCTCTCTCTCTATCTCTCTATCTCTCTCTCTCTCTCTCTCTCTCTCTCCTCTCTCTCTCCTCTCTCTCTCCTCTCTCTCTCCTCTCTCTCTCCTCTCTCTCTCCTCTCTCTCTCCTCTCTCTCCATCACCCCCCTCCTTCCCCTCCCTCTCTCTCTCCTCTCTCTCCATCATCCCCCTCCTTCCCCTCCCTCTCTCTCCCCTCCTCCCTCTCCCTCTCTCTCCCCTCCCTCTCTCTCCCCCTCCTCCCTCTCCCTCTCTCTCTCCCCTCCTTCCCCCTCCCTCTCTCTCTCCCCTCCTTCCCCCTCCCTCTCTCTCCCCCTCCTTCCCCCTCCCCCTCCTTCCTCCTCCCTCTCTCTCCCCCTCCTTCCTCCTCCCTCTCTCGCTCGCAAGTTCGCAGCGGAAGCAAAAAGCAGCTTAAATCCCTCACGTCGACCCACTAAGACCTGTACTCTCTGGTGCGGGGAAATGCAGACGAGATTGTGGATTTTGTTCTGTTTCTTCGCTTCGTCGGTGTAGTTTCTTGTTGAGATTGGCGCTGTTTGCCTCTGTTAACGTCGGTGTGCGAGGGTTGCCAAGGGGGTTGGGGGGGGGGGGGGAGAAGGAAGTCCTGGAAGTAGCGCAGCGAGAGTCGATACAAGGAAGGAACTCGAACAGGATCGACGATCATAGGCCTGAGATCTCTCGAAGACTTGAAAGCCCCATTTTGTGTCGAGGTTTAGTTTCATTTGCATATTTCTTTCGCCGTGACCTCTCTCTCGGAGGCCAGACCAGAGTGCCATGACGGCGGGTTCTCCAGAAGTGTTTGGAGAGAAGCGGGCCACTTGTTTCTCCTCGGGGGCGTGGGAAGGGGGTATAGACAGTGAGTTGGGGGGAGTGCCTGAGGGTAATGGCGTCGGGTGTGAGGTTGGCAGTTTTGGTTGATGAGTGTTTTGAGGTTTATACATCACGACAGGAGCCTCGTGCCCTGGTCAGGATTTAAGAAGCGAGAGGGTGAATTATAACTTGGTATTTGGACGATTTAACTTTTTCTCAGCCGTTGTTTTAGTTGCATCATCCCGCGAGAGAGGGTCAGGGGAGTCTCCCTAGTAGGTCAGCTGACCTTTGGCCGAGCAATTAAGCGCGGTTTAGAGATTTCAGAGATTGAGAGGAGAGGCCCGGTGTTATTCATATACACACACACACACACACACACACACACAACACACACACACACACACACACACACCACACACACACACACACACACAACACACACACACACAACACACACACACACACAACACACACACACACACCACACACACACACACCACACACACACAC